GTCGAAACAATGTGTTTACTTTGCGAACGGTACGACGGCAGCGCCGTCAAACCGCAGCATGTTGCGGTGACCAACGGCGTCCGACGGCGGGGAACGGCGAAACCGTCGAGTGCGGTGCTGTACATCTAAATATAGTTGTTTGGTGTGAACGTAAAAACCGTTCGGATAAAACCGTTCGGACTCGACGGCGAAAATATACTAATATCATACAATTATTTCAAATCATATTTTAATAATTAAATATCAACAGGGGCCCGGGGCCCCAAATAAAATCGGCGCCCGGGGCTGCAGCCCCCTAGCCCCCCAGCCTAAGTTGGGCTCTGCATTTAAATTTTAGGCTTTTCACGGTTATATTGTTGTAAATTGCTGTGATTTTATCGCAATCTCGGTATTTATAGAGTATAATATAGACTATATTATAATCATAATTCATAGATAGGTATATATTATATATATATCTTATATATTTTAGGTATACAAAATAGTAAATTGAATACTATATAATTATGCATATTAATTTTAAATTATTTATGTCTGTGGACTGTAATCAGACGTCCAATGGACGTTACAGTTTATGATATTTATATGTCACTGTTTAAAGTGTTAATTGTGAAATAGTAATAATTTTAGCCTTTAGGCTATTATAACATAACATAAGTATATGAATCCAAAAAACCAAACTTTATATTCGTACCTACCTCTTTTAAACTAAAAAAAATGAATTTGAAAATGTTGAGATAATTATAATTAAAGTGTAGATAATAGATACACATTTTGAAATTGATCGATATATATGAGAAAATTACCTTTAGGTATATGCAATAATTTATGCGCTGATTAAAGAGGACTAAATCCTTTAAAAAAACATGAATAATTCTAATATAATGTTTAAATTCCACATATATTTTAAACAATAATCTTGTTTTAAAAAATATTCAATCTGAAGTATAGGTAACATATTAACAATAACATCTTATACACGCCTTTGYCTAATAAAATTAACTATATTATAATATAGATAGTATAGTAATTCCGATACTCCGATATCTATATTAAAATATAATATAGATGTAAGATCTAATATTCTTATTAGTTATTGTATTGTATTACGACCTTAAGTGTGTCGTGTATGTGTTAGAGTCGTGTGACGATCGAATGACGCTTGAACATTGAACATTCGTTCGTCGCACGGCTCGTAGATGTCACCGGGTTGTACGACCAGCCACCCAGGCATCCATGAATTATATTTATGTTTGCATAATTATAAGACGGTTTATAAATAAACATACCTTTGAGGTAGTAATAATTTCATAAAAAAACATATACACATGCTTCTATAATACCTACTATGTCTCTATTATTACCTTATATATATATATATATATACTATTTATTGTTATAAATTGTTTAATGTATATTGTATTTCGTAAGACAAGCAATAATTTTTCTCCCCGATTTTATTGAAAGCTAATAACCAATTTTTAGGCATAAACTATGTGGTGTATTAGCCGGCGTTACATTTTTTTTTTTTTACATTGGAAGTAAAATTTGTATCATTATATTATATTACACAATATGAAATTACATTGAACTACTTAATTACTACTGCAGTCTACTATTATATTTGACATTTGTACATGTTTTCTAATAGATAAATCTTTAGGTATATATACTCCCGAAACATCCACGAAATTAACGATGTTCATATTTCATCAATGTAACCATAACACATTCATTATTATTATCATTGATAATATTGATAATTTATCAACGCTGTATAATGTAGGTACCTATCACAGATATAAAAGATATTATCTTTTTATTACCATCATGATTATTATATATGTATATTGAATACATATTCTTGTATATAAGAATTAAAGAATAAATAAATTTTAGATGCTATAGATACTTTCAATTTTTTATAAAATATATTTTTTTTTTTTACCTTATAAATCGACTGAACTCATTTTCGTGTCTTCCATTAACTTTATATACCTTAGCATATATTTTATACCTMATCATTTTTGGCAAATCTTTAACTTTTCATTATTAGACACTCRTTTGAGTTCTACGTCGATTTATTTGATTATCAGTTAAGTATAATTCATAGTAAAAAAAAATATTATAATACAATATAATATATTCTAAATTTTTATTTTTATCAAATGTGATCAAAATTAAAATATAACATAAAAACTAAAAAGAATTATTAAGGTATTTGATTTTAAATACAGATACTTCAAGAAAGTTTAGAATACCGAGTAAAGATTATTGATATGAACAATCAAATATATAGCAACAAATCGATACATAAAATAATACACTTAAGCATAATAAAATCTCCAGTAGCCAGTAGGTTGTAGGTAAGTACTAATAGTATCTAAATATGATAACACTAACATATTTTTGTAATGAATATATTATATATACCTAGGTACTAATACTACCTATATAGAATATCTATTGTTTAGGATACAATAATATAAGCAGGTAAGTAAATTTGGTACATTTTGAAGGCGGTAAATTGAGTCCTGTGAAAAAACAGGTAGTACCTAGGACCTAGGTACTAATTAAAAAACTAAAAATTAAATTTCATAAGACTATTCTATTATGTACTTAATTTATATTAATTAAAAATATTACAAATAGAAATTAATAAAAAATAAAAATAAGTCATTATTATTATATTTAATAAATAAATAAGTCCCTGATACGAAGGGTTATATATTGTATAGATCGGAAACATGGCCTCTTAGAAAAATGGACGAACACAGATTCATTATCTATGAAAGAAAAGTGTTGCGGAAAATATAAGGGCCAGTAAAAAACGAAATAACTGGAGACGAAGAAAGGGAATCCCAGAAAATAATATTAAAGAAAAAAATAACACGGACAAAAAGAACAATTTAAAAAAATTTTAAATACAGGGTGTCCCACGGAGATCTGACATTCTGAAAAATGAAATAACTTTTTTTCTAATCAATATTTAAAAAAAAAATGTTTTAAATATATTGTAAAGACATTTGCGCTATATTTTTGGTTTCATTTTTTTATTTTTAACATTAAAAATAAAATACATATAAATTAATAAAAAAAATTTCAGAAACATTCAATAAAGCCAAATTGTAATTCTTACTTAGAGAAAAATTTGCATGGTAATTTTTTTAAGTATTAAAAATAATCGTGTAAATGTGTATATATAATCATTTTTAATCTTCATAATCAATTAATATATTTATTCTTTTTAGTTTTTTTATATATTCAAATTTTTTAAATTTGTTCTTTTTTACAGATCACGGAAGAAAGGACATAAAACTGGAAACATTATATGGTAGTTCGGATATATTGGAGGTTATCAGAAGTAGATGATTACGATGGGCTGGTCAAGCTTGGAGGAGCCAAAACTATACTGCATTGCGCATGYAGTGATTGAACAAACTCCTATAGGTAAAGGCCTCTGGGAATACCAAGAATGCGATGGGAAGACATTATAAAAAAGGATGTTGAACGGTGCACCCATGGGACGTGGTTCCAATTGGAGAAATTATTAGCTCTGGATAGAGAAGAACGGAAGCTTAACCAATTGGTTATGATATGGGATGGTTTTACAAGCCCAATCAATCAAAAAATAATACATATATATATATATAATGTACTCGGTAAAAATTAATATTGATTTAATATACTCAAATCGGGTTATAACATTACTATAGTGTATTTGGTCATTTGCTCCCCTATATAATAATAATAAT